GATGGAGACCCAGTCACAGTGTCATGTGGCTATGGTTTTCACTAGGGATATGGGAATAGGGAATGTCGTGCTGATGCTGACAAATGAACATAAAATGTAGAAACTGGGATTAAATCTACCTGTATTAACCTTACAAGGAACATTTTAGCACTGTAGCCTGGCATCTCCTAAAAGTTCTGCTCTTCCAGAGTACAATAAATTTGTCATCAAAAATCAGTTTAAAATATCAATCAAATCTAAACATCTGCCCCCTTTTAAAAGCAAATATCTGCCAAAAATTAAGATTTGCTACTTCTGTCTCCTGTGTCCTCCCTCCCACTATAGCCAAGGGTTTACAGATGTTAATACCATCAAGAAATTTGAATACTATGAAATAATGACATTTTATTAATGTGTTGTAATATGAGACAAGCACACCTAAATATCAACATTTTGCTGATAAATAAAAAGAGCAAACAGGGCTTCGTACCTGGGCTCAGGAGAGTCAGTGAGGCAGAAGAGAGACTTTAACAGCTCCCCTTCTGTAATCTTTATCACGTGCATCAGCTGCAGTACCAGCAGTGTAGCCACCAGCCTCAGGATATCAACATGAGCCTTCACACCTAACAGAGAAACATTCAGCAAGATTTAACTGCTTCTGGCTGTTAATATGGAGCTACACCGCCACCTTGCAGGGCTGCCATATAATGCTACAATGTGACAGTAAACTTTAAGTGAGTTAGTTACTTGTAGTACTTGTAGCCAACTCACTTCATAGAAAAAAAAAATTATATATATATATATATATATATATATATATATATATATATATATATATATATATATATATATATATATGATTGTCATTAAATCTTAGCTTGTATGTCACATTTCACAGTAATGCACTAGAGCACTAGAGAAGTCATAATGCAGTATATAATAGATATAATACATCATACTCTACATGTAGTTTAGCAGAAAGTAAAGCTGAAAGCAACTGTGTTTACCCAAAGAGCAGATGCCTTTCTCTTTCAGGAAGACTCTGGCAAAGAAGTCCACATCCAGTTCGAGAAACCTACTCAGCCTCCCTGTACATTCCCAGTAGCCATCCTGTGTCCAACAAGGAAAAAACAAACTTTCATTTGATATCTCGTCCCCTTACAATTTAAAGGTTCTGTCTGCGTTCAGAGCAGTTTTGAGATATTGAGCTTCAAAGAGCAAAACTGCAAAACTGATATGTAGAACAAGTCTGTGACAGACACCCTAAATGTGTTCTAAATGTACAATATCAAAATCCTATCAAATATATAAATGAGGTCAAAAACAGGTCAGATGCAGATAGAACCTTCTAATCCCAAGAACTCACTTTCTGCTTGGAATTATAAGGTTCTATCTGGCAAACCATGAAAAGAAGCAACGATTTCCAAGGAAAATAAACAGTTTTTTTCTTGTTTTAGGACAAATCATCTTTTTCTTATTCAAAAAAGCATTGATTAAAAAGATTAAGTATAAACGTCAGTGCTAAATATTTGTCCAGTGCAGAGGTCAGTTTATGGAACGAACCATTAGTTTAAGTTTCCTGTAGGTTAGACAGCAAGAGTTACTGTAATAAACTGTCCCAGCAAGTAAGTGTAGCCGGTCAGTCTAAAGACAGAATGAGGTTTGTTTTATGTGAGAAATGTGACTCTGAAGCACCAAAATGTCTTATTTTGGGAGAAAGAAGAAAAAAAAAAAGATGGATGAATGAATTAAATTAATGTTAATGTCTATGCAATTAAGATCCCATCAATTCAGATGCTTACTATTTAATTACCTTTAAGTCTTAATACTTTTAATAAAATTTAAGACAATAAGACTTTTCCCACAATCACTGAGCAGTGCAGCGACATGACAAAGAAGCAGAGCCTGATTGGTCTTCTTGTGTGTATTCAAAGTGCTGATTGGCTCGCAGATAGAACCTTATAGAACTAAATTGGAGTTTGACTTTGGAGATAGAACCTTTTTTGTTTTCTAGATAAAGAGTCCAAAAATGCATACAACTACGCCTCACATAATGTTAAGACGTCACAGAATAAGAATATGTGAATAACTCAAATTTGGACAAAAATGTCAGATAGAACCTTATTATTCCAAAAGGATGATCTTAGGTCAAAAATGTTCTTTTTGAAATATGCTGAAACTCAAATACATATTTTTGGTTTTAATTCTTGCTCTTGTGTTGTTATTGCTCTTTGAAATTTGTAGGTATGCTAAAACATATATGTCCAGAAATACTTATAATCATAAGGTGACAATTCATATTTGCATGTTCATCTGTAAGTCAAAGAGCTTAGAGCTCACATAATTATTTCCCAATACTTCACTTCCCTGACATTTATGGAGGGCACTGGTTGTAAGCACAAGTGGCAGGAATATTTATGTGAAGCTCACAGTCATATATGTACCAGATGCTGAAGGTCAAATAGATCATCCTAGTTGATCCTGTCAGGTCTTGTTTTATTCACTCCTACTGTCCCTCCGCCTAAAGGTTTGACATGTCCTTTCAGAGATGCTTTCTGATGACCTTTGTTGTAAAGAGTGGTCATTTGGGTCAGTGTAACCTAAATCCCAGCTTCGACATGTCTAGCCATTCTCCTCTAAACTCTCCCATTAACAAGGCATTTCTACCCACAGAACCGCCGCTCATTTGACATTTTATGTTTTTTTGCACTTTACTGTGTAAACTCTAGGGAACTGTTGTGCATGAAAATCCCAGATTAGCAGTTTGTGAAATACTCAAACCACTTTATTTTCTTTTCTGGCAGGAACTAAGAGAAGCTAAATTTACATTTAAGGCCAGAGCACACAAGACTCTGCACACAATACTAGCTGGTGCTTTTCTAATTCTCATTTCTGCTACACTGCCTAGAATAGGGGTGCCCAAGTCCGGTGCTTTCCAGAGCAGTACCTCATCAGGACTAGACGTAAGCACCCATGGTCACTTTAGACCACAGGTTCCCACCGCTGGACCTGGAGTATGCCCAGTCCTGTGCATTTTAGTGTTTACCCTACTTTGTTACACCCATTTAAGCCCAGGATGGGCTTAATAGGTAGTTGATTCGTTGAATCAGGTGTGTTAGAATTTGGGAAAACACCAAAATGTGCAGAGCAGGGTGCACTCCAGCACTAGGGCTGGGAACCAGCGCTCTAGACCATCTGTGAAGTGGATTTTATTTGTTCCTGCAAGGCTGGTGCAGGCCCTACATCTTCACAGATGTGTATATAGTCATATATGTACATAGCATACATCGCCTACTGTTTATCAGGACAACTGGCTATTATGCCTGTCACCATAGGCTTTGAAATATTGTGCAGTATATTCAATTTTAGAATTATAAATGACCTGAAATTTGTCCAAAAAAAAAAATATATAGGTGACTTCTAGCTACACATCGCTAGTCCATCCAGTCCATGGTGACACACACACCCACTCCCACCAACCCATAGCCCAGCACGGAATAACACACCTAACACTAATGCACCAGACAGTAAACACACACACTAACAGCAACAACTATTTATAACAAGGGAAGCTTAAAGCATAAGTTATTAAAATTTTTTTTTTTTTTATATGGGTTGCACTGCACACTGCTAATCAGAAAAAGTAAACAAATCCTTCACATGAATAAAAAATAGAAATGACTTCCGTCCAGCGCTCTGAACATTTTAATCAAAGTATTAAAGTATCTCAACTCAATGTACTTAAGTGTGAAAACTGAAAGTAGAGATAAATAAGACCTACACTATGTATGTAATTAGGCCAAACTGCTATTTTTGGTTTGTAAAATACAAAATACATTTAAATGAACTAAAAACTATTTTTGTATTTCTTTCATTTTTTTAGTTATTGATGTACAGTTCCTTTATTTATCACAGTAATAATGTGGGCTTTATACTAGAACATTGCTGTGAGGATTTGATTGCATTTAGCCACAAGAGCATACAAGATACGGATGTTGGATTAATTCTGGATCACAAACTCCACTCCATCCCAAGGGTATTGGATGGTGCTCCATCACTCCAAAGGACACAGATTCACTGCTCCAGGCCAATGGTGGGGGTATTATACCCTTCTAGCTGAAAGTGGCACTGGGCATGGGGACCATAGGTTCATGTGCACCTGCTCCACAGCGTCCCAGTCTACTGTCAGTGCTTTGCGTAGGAATAATATGAGCTGTGTGTGTGTGCAGTTGAACATTTGTGTCAGCAGTGGCCGCACTTTAAAATAGATGAATTCACCAATAAAAAGTGGTGTGTGAATATTTTTGGACATACAGTGTAAATGCAGTAAAAAGTGTTTTGTTGGAATAAAAATTGAAAGTGTGCACAAATGTACATAATCACATGAAGAGCAAACAATGGTGTTTAAATTGTTTGGGTGTGCCATATGTATTATACTACACCGAAGTTGAATGAATTAAAAGGGGAGACTCAAGTTGGTGTAATTAAAAACCCACAAGTACAGTCTTATGCAAAAGTTTGAACACCCCTAATCAAATTACATATTTTGTGAAGTGAAAATTAATTAACATGGCCTTTTTGTTTGTTTTGCTAATTTTAGTGTACATTTTCTATTCATTTTTAACATATTGGAAAAACATAAAACTTAAAATATGTTTCCTTTTGTATGCCACATTTTATGATTTAGTCCTTTTCCCCTTACATTCAGCAAACAAACAGTAACTGTGCATTGAAATGTGCGTAAGTGTGTTCTCTGTAGAGAATAAGCACATATAACTTCTAAAGCCAGCAGAACATGTAAACTGAGGAGGGCAATGGAACTTCTGTATACGTCTGTATATGGATGATTATGCCAAAATCAATGGTTTTCCACTAAGATAACTTCTCACTCCAACAAAAGTCTCACTAAATTATACCTTTCACCACTGAGTCTGTCAAAAGAGTCTTAAAAGATTCAGTGTTGAGGATAACAAGGACTAAAGAGATCAATTAAAATAGAAACAAAAGTAACAAATTGAAGATTCTGTGCTCCAAAGTTTAATAGTTTTAGACAAGTTCCTCAAACATGCAGCTTTAGGCAAGTAAAAGAAAACAGTAAAACATTTTTATTTCACTCAATATTATGAAGTGCAGTAACAGCAAGCCAAGCGGTTACAAAAACTACTAAACAATTTCAATTAATTTTCTCATTCATTTTCATCCATCCCAAATTATTTTTGCTAATACAGCTAAAATTTGAGCACAAGAGTAAGCCTGGTGTTTCAGGTCCCTGTTAAAAACTTGTCCCTCTCCTCCTACTGTTATTTAGATTAACCATCTGAAGTGCCATTTTGATTGTGCTATGTTACACTGTTGCGTTTCCTAATGAATTTCCAGCTGTGGTCTCAGCTCTTGAACGTAAGTCTTAGGATTTTTTATCCTAAAACCTGTTTGGTTTGTTTTAAAATGTTCTATTTTTGTACAAAGGGACCAAGAGCTCAGGAAAGAGTTATATAATGACAGAATATTCAAGGTTATATGATTAAACATTTAATATTGCCACTATAAAGATTATTGTTGTTGCTCTTTGTTTGGCTAAATGAATAGTTATGGAATTCCCGCTGAAGTGTCAGTATTTGATCTACATGACAGATATTTGTGCGCTCCTCTGCAGGACAGAGGTCAGAGGGGAGCAGGGGTGCAGTGAGTCCAGACCCAGCAGCTGGCGTGTGCAGGACTCCCAGTCCCAGCCAAACTCCAGTCTGCTGCACACACATGGGTACTGTCTGTCTGCCCAGCAGACCCAGTCCACTGCCTTCTTCACTGCTTCATAGCATGCTGGCCTACAGGAGAAATGCACAGACATTACAAAAAGACAGTTACATACAGCACACAAAATACATGCATGCTATGTCTAGGTCATATGTCATACGAAATAAGCTTGCTGTTATCTAGAAATTACACAAATACCATGAACAAACAAACAACATTCATAACATGATGTATATCAGAATACCACAGTATACCGATATTTAGTCAAAGTATTGTAATATAGGTCATGCACACAAATACATCAATGAGCATTATACCACACACTTTATGACCAATCACAGATAAAGTGAATAACTATGATTATTTTGTAACAACGGTGCATATGAAGGACTGGAATATATCAGGCGGCAAGCAAACAGTTGGTTCTTGTAGTCAGTGTGTTTGTTGGATGTGGGAGGAATGGGCAGGGGTGAAGACCTGAGCGACTTTGACAAGGGCCGAATCGTTGCGGTCAGACAATGGGGTCGGAGCATCTCCGAAAAGGCAAGGCTTGTTAGATGCTCCTGGTCAACGGTCGTAAGTACCTAGTGATAGCGATCCGAGGAAGGACAAATCACCATAAATTTTTAATGACGGTTACGGGACGAATGTCACAACACAGTGCATCGCAAGGTTGCGTGGTCCAATAAATCCCGCTTTCTTTAACATCACGTGGACGACTGGGTACATGTGCGCTGTTTACCTGGGGAAGTGACGGCACCAGTATGCACTGTGGGATGAAGACAAGCTGGTGGAAGGAGTGTGATGCTTTGGGCAATGTTCTGCTGAAAATCCCTTGGTCCGGGCATTCATGTGGACATTGCTGCGGACCAGGTACATCCCTTTATGGCAGTGGTATTCCCCCAGTGGCAGTGGTCTCTTTCAGGACAACAATGTGCACTGTTCCACTGCACACCATTGTTCAGGAATGGTTTGAGGAAGATGATGTAGAGTGTCACCCTGGCCTCCAAATTCCGCAGATCTCAAGCCGATCAAGAATCTGATGATGTGCTGGAACAAGAACTTTGATCCACGGTGGCTCCACTTCACAACTTACAGGACTTAAAGGATCCACTGTTAGTGTCTTGGCACCAGCTACCACAAGGCAACTTCAGAGGTCTTGTAGAGACCTATTTTGGAGCTATAATGGCAGCATGCAGAGGATCAACAGCATGTTAAGCTGGTAGTCATAATGTTTGGATCATTGGTGTAAATACAATCTGCTGAAAAATTAAGGAAGGGTGGATCATACACTGCTTCTTACCTGGGCTCAGGAGAGTCAGTGAGGCGGAAGAGAGACTGGAACAGCTCAACTTCTGTCATCTTCATCACACGCATCAGCTGCAACACCAGCAGTGTAGCCACCAGCCTCAGGATATCAGCATGAGCCTTCACCCCTAAATGAGACAACATTCAGAAGGAATTTGGCTGTTAATATGGAGCTACATCTTGTACCGTGTCACTTTGAACAAAGGGAGCCAGCTCACTTCATAGCCAAATAGAATTTCATCATCAACTTTCAAAAACTCAAAAAAAATGTAAAGGTTATATTTACATTAGGAAGAACCCTTTTTTTTTATACCCACATCTTTTTCAAACATAATTCTTTAGGGAACCAAAAGTGATTCTCCTACTGCATTACTCAAATAACCCTCATTGTCCTAAATCAGATATGTAATGGACAACATGATGATGCAGCAGTCCATGTTATATAACTGAACAGCAGAAATTAAAGCTAAAAGAAACTGTGTTTACCCAAAGAGCAGATGCCTTTCTCTTTCAGGAAGACGTTGGCAAAGAAGTCCACATCCAGACCCAGGAACCTACTCAATCTTCCTGTACATTCCCAGTAGCCATCCTGTGTCCAAGAGAATAAGAATAAATTGCTTTTTACTCTTTGAATTGAGGATAAAAATTACATTTCTATGTATTTTTTGGGCATATGCTTTTTTCTGTGAGCACAGGTATTAGCATTTCTTTCTTGGACTGTAGTTAGATGCTCTAAAGCACACATAAGAAAAAATCTTGTAGGTTATCTGTCATCAAAATTAGTTGGCAAAAAGAAAATCTGAGAGTCTTATGGAAAATAAGTTTAAACACATGCCCAGAACATCCCCTACCACAAACAAAGTGACAAAATTCTGCCTCATATTTGTGTGTTTATTTGTAATGCAGTGTTTGAGCGTAAAAAGTTCCCCAGTACTTCTTGAGGGCACTGTATCTAAACATGAGTGGCAGGAAAATGTGTGAGAAGCACCCAGTCATTTATGTACCTGATGCTGAAGGTCAAATATCTCCTCCCAGTTGATTCTGTCGGGTCGTCTGTATTGTTCACCGATACTATCCATCTCCAGTAGGTCATCCTCAGGCCTCTCTACAGAAACTGGGCCAAACGCCTTTTCTAAATTACCAACTTTCCATGAGGAAAAACTACATTTAATCCTGGGGGAGCCCGAACGAAATCCAAAATCAACACCAGAGGACGCTTTAGCTAGATGAGAGAACAAAGAAAGGAAGAACTGTATTGATGATGTAATAAAATATGCAGTGATGAGTTGAACCTGAAACCATGATGCTAAAAAGAACTTCAGAAATTTGTGTCTTATTCCTTACCTAACGCCACACGACGGTGCCGACCACGTTTTGGAGAAACTGCTGATTCAAGGGCACAAGGAACAAGGGACTCATGGGAATCACGGGAATGCTGAGCAGCAAAATGAAACTGAGGAAGAGGGGACTGATGGCTGTCAGGTACAACTGTTCCTAGGGGCGGAGGAGAAGCGGGTGGGGCAGCATCATCAGCACTTAAGAAAAAAGCGTCAAGAAGAGGAGGAGGAGGAGGAGGAGGAGCAGGAGGAGGATGAGGACTAGGACGAGGAGGAGGAGGAGGACAACCAGCAAAAGAGGAAAGGGGAGGCAAAGCAGAATAGGTAGTGAAGGAAGAAGCACCGGGTTGAGGAACAAAACCAGGAGGAGGAGGCGGAGGAGCACAAGCAGAAGGAAGACGAGGAGGAGGAGAAGGAGGAAGAACACCAGCAAAAGAAGAAAGGGGAGGCAAAGCAGAATAGGTAGTGAAGGAAGAAGCATGGAGTTGAGTGCCAAAACCAGGAGAAGCAGTTGGGGGAGGGAGAAAAAGAGCAGTATTAGGAATGGAGAAAAGAGCAGCACCAGAACGAAGAGGAGGAACCGGTCTACATGCTGCGGAAGCAGCATGGTGAGCAACACCTTCAAAAGGAGTTTCAGTGTAAGGCTCAGAAGAGCGGATGGGGGCCTCGTCTAATGCTAAGTCAACAGCATCAGGTGGTGTTCTTGGCAGAGGACAGCCATCTTCAAAAGATGCGATGGATACATCTGGGTCAGTCTGAGTAAATGGACCAATGGGAATGTCACTCTCTATGGAGGCAGAAAGACAAATAAAAGCAGAAGAACCAAAACGATGAGAATGAGACTCAGGCATGAGGAAGTTTGCAGGGGATTGACTAGATGCTAAAGCTTCTATGGGATGAGCAGCTCCATAGCCTTTATATGTTTCGGAGAATAATTGTTTCTTCTTCTTCTTCTTTGAATTCCTCCTAGCACCATAAAACATCGCACCAGCTGACCAAGTATCAGGCTGAAGCTCTTCACCAACAAATGCGCCTTCTAATGGTGACTCAAAAGTAGCAGCCGCTGTCTTCTGGATAGGACTGTGATCATCCAAAGACAAGGAGCAATCGACATATGAACTTTGGAGATCATCAAAAAAGTCATATCCGGTTAAATCAGTCTCCAAGCATTCATAATTAAAAGACTCCTGTGAGAAAAAGAAAAAACTATGAGTAATCAAAGTAAAGCAGGTTCTTTATAAAAGCTAACACACAGCTGAATTTGGTAACACAGCCTGTCTAAGAACATACATACCACATCCCCCAAACATATCTGCTCCTCTTCAGTCCAGCCCATGTACGGCAGAATATCCACATCCTCTTCTGCAATTAACTTTGGGACATCAGTGATTCCAGAATCAGGCTGTTGCTGGTCCTACATGGAGATGAGGCGGGAAAAGAGACTCTTAACCTTGTTAAATCCAAAGTAACTACTTATTGAGTAACTGCATGGACTACAGTGCAAACTAGTGAGTTATTTTTAGGTTGTAGAGGTGTGTAATAAAGTTTGGGGTGCTGGCCATTTAAAGGTTTAATTAAATGTACATTTCCACTTTTATACATCTGAGAAAATTTGAAGACAAGTGACAAAAATCTGCATTATAATGCTCAGGCCCAGCGTTAGGGGTTCATTTAGTGGGTACTGCCTCACCAACTGATCTTCATGCCCCACTAAACTCACCACTTTTTACATATGCTTCTGTAGTAGCAAGCAGCAAAAACAAAGTGAAAGTGGACAGAACTTTGCTGTGAATGTGTCTCTCCTGTTAATTCTTTCCTGAATGTATGGCTCTTTGGACAGATCTACTGTACCACATGGATACAATGCACAACCCATAATTATTTACAAAGCCTTTCACAGAGAACCTTACCTAAAGAACATTTGTCCAGCAAACTGCCCTTCATTTTTGAGCTGAGATGGCCTGAACTTTTGTATAACATACTAGTCATTATATGGATGTGAGGTGTGTTAAAACTGGACTGATGAATACAATCTTACAGTCAGCAGTGATCATACCCTTTCTTCAATGGCGACAAAGCTGGTGAACTGAGACAGGATGGAGAACTCTTTACTAAGCTCGATGATGTAGGACTTCAACTCAGCTTTCTTTCCCTGAAAATGGCAGTAGAGAACAGCTATTAGAGTTCTATGCTTGTCCTTTACTTGTTTACGGATCCAAACACTCCAGGAAGCAAAACAAACATGCCTATGTGAAACTTCTCTAGAACTTTCAATCTCTGGCACATACTTCATGTTCTGCTTCACTAGAGCCAAGACTGCCATCCTCATAGTCTCTGATGATCGCTCTTGCTGTTAGTTTGTGAAGGAACTAGAGTAAAGAAACACAAAGAAACAGTGCAGTGATTTCAACACTAAAAACAGTGATATTACAGGATAAATATTAGATTATGCAGTAATATGGGCAGGTCCAAATCTTACTGTTCCTTTAGTCTTCTGTAATTCGGTAGTGGAAACCACTGTCTTAAGTTCCTGTCCACTCAGGTCACCAAAAAGTGTAGCCTAAGTACAGAACAAACATTTAGACCTCACATGATAAAAATCATTCATAGATTACTGCAGGGCACAATGCTCTGAGGAATCAGAATTAATGTGATGTACCTGAGTGCAGTGCGGCACAAAGCCGTAGACCAGAGTGTGACAGTCACTGAAGAGAGCGTGTAGCTGAGAGGGGGCTTGAACAGGAGGTGGTGCTGTGGGATTGAACTGCTGCCATTTCACTGCCACTGAACTACAGCCTGGAGATGCCATGCACTTCACCTGGGAATTCACCTACAACAGCCAGTCAGCCACGTTGTACACACTTGCTACACATATGAACAGCTACAAAATCCCTGAGATAATGAAGCAGGACTCACCTTCTCAGCCCAGGTATGCTTTGTCTTTGTGTCAAAAAACTCATATGCTCCTCCACCTGCCTGAGCCAAAGCTCTCAGCATGTGCCGATTAGCTGTTGGGCTGCACACAAACACAAACACATTCAGATACAGCCACATACACCGAAAGTGTGTATGCCATAAATGGTGTCACTGAAGTGCTGACTATGAATTCTTAAAGTCAATAGTTGATGAATTTGTTGACTGTGAAGGGAAGGCATATTTCTGCGTGTGTATCTATTGACCTGGGCACATACTTTAACTTCATCTGTAACACCATTTTTGTGTCTCAGTCATCCAGTTTAAACTCTCTAAAGCTGCTGAGTGCTGACCTGAGGCCACAGGTGAAGAGGCGAGTATGGCGGGCGTTCTCTCGCACCAGCTGCAGGGTCTGAGGTTGGTTCTGTATGTGTCCATCAGAGATCAGCAGCACGTCCCTCACACCATGAGATGGAGGCAGCAGATTCAGGCTGCGCAGAGGCCTCCACAGCTCAGTGCTACCACCAACAGCAGGAGAGGACTAATGGTGGAAACGGGAAAACAGTTAACTGTTACAATTCTGAATGATTCTAATCACTATGATTTATTATGGTGCATATAGCTATGTAACCTAAGGCAGAAAATGTTTTTCTTAGTTATATCCATTTACAGCATTTATTACTTCAAATTATAAGACACGTATTTGGGTCACTTTATGGTAATTCACCTAGGGCTTGGCTGATCCTTTCAAAATTATTCATACATTGTACATAAAAAACATTTGTTATTAATTTTTAAAGTTTGCCTCAGTTCTACATTCTACATCACATCTTCAATATGAATACTGGAGTAAAAAAATACAAAATTACAACAATTTCATGTTACTATATAGCAACAAAATGTTCATTTATTACAGGGTGTACTTCAATCTTACATGTCATATTGCATGTCAAATACTTCATCTTTGACATGTAATATTTCAGTCTGTTTTCAGAATTACTTTTGCAAAACAGTTATTATGTAATATTTCTATGTTTCTATCAAACCTATGAATGATTAATTTCTGCATGCAGTATGTAAAGCTACACCATAAGTTAAAAATGCCTTCACAACAAAAAAAATTCAGAGGCCTTTTTGACCACATATTTTATCATATTTTAGGTCTGCTTTTTCCTAACGTTTTCTTAAATAAGGGCAGACAAGAAATAGAAAAACACAGGATTTCCAAATTCGCCCTAATAACCCTATATCTATCTATCTTTTGTTGGTGGATGCAACAATGTCTGGTTCTCATTCTTCTTTTACCTTGTCTGCCCTTCTTGTTTCACCTTTCCCAGTCTAGGTTTCCCAGCCATGTGCTTTTGTGTTATTTTGATATGCCATATGATTTTGGTTCAGGTTTGCATGCTTCTCTCTGTTCTGTCTTTGTGTCACTTGGTTATTTAAACTCGAGGTCGTGTGTTATCGCAAATAACATCACAGCTGTGATTTGGTCGCAGGCATGAGCCAAAGGATTTGGTCGCGTCTTGTGATGCTGTGATGTTATTCGCGGTAACACACAACCTCGAGTGTTCTACTGTTTTTATACAACAGTTAAATAAACAAAATAAGAATGTGGCATTTAATAAGTTTTAATGTTAGCAATTCCTTCCGCCAAATTGTAGTTCCTTAACAAGCAGCTTGTTGCTACGTCTAAGTAACAAACTCCACTCACTCGCTGGACAGCCAGCAGTTCATTCTCCAGCTCCCTACACAGACCAACACATTAAACACATTTCACACTCAGTTTTGTCATTTTTTGCTAGATCAATATTAATGTTGTTTTGTTCCAGCCAGTCTGGAAAGCATTTTACAGCCCATTTTGTTTGGCGAATGGTATTCGGTTCATTTCTGGCTAATTCCAGGTTGTTTAGCTGTTCTTCTGTCACAGCTTCTGACTGAAAAGCTTGTTCAGCAGTGGTGATGACAGTTTGGGAATTTAGTGTAGTCTCATCTTCAGAGTCTGACCAAATCGGCTGTAGGTCAAATGTGATCTTAAAAGTAACTAATTTCTGTTTGTGTGCAAAGTAAGAAGTAAAAACGTTCCAAGGATGCAGGTGATGCCATGTTGAGAAAGGATTTTCTAACTTTGGGTGAAAACATCCCGATCTTTTCGCATATATCGAAATGCAAGAAAGCAATCGAAAGGATTTGAAACCGTGTACTGTATAATGAAACTTTGTTCGTTCTAGTCACATTACATTTTCATTTTGATAAGGACTTTTAAAGCAATTTATCAAAATGTTGCACCTGAAATCGTTTCAGTTTCAATTTCTGAGTTTCAGTTTTGAACTAGTTCTTCAGTTCCCAGTTTCAAAGTTCTATATCCAAGCTGTTTTGTTTCCTTTTTTACCTTCTGTTTGGTCTCGACTGGACAGCAACTACGTCAAGAGTAACTTACCTGACAGGAATAATACTGTCATGAAGACAAGGTGATGCGCAACAAAGCATTCAAAAAGAAATGAAGCATGCAACTATTTTTTGTCTGGAGAGCTTATGCGTACAGTGTTGAACTGTTTCATGGAAACTGATCACATGACCTGCAAGGGTCTAGGTCAGTTATAGAACGAACTATTGCACTGTACATTCATTCAAGAAGCTCATTGGGTTTTACAATGGTATAATATTAGATACAAGGTATTTCTTACACTGTATTAATATGAGATAGCCTTGGCTTTGAAGGTGAGTACTCACCATAATGAAGTTCTTGGCTAATTTAAAAACTTCACCGTCCTCTAGCACATTTGGTGTAGGGAAGGCCTCTTTGTAGTCTATTCAACAACAATGATGGGACAACATGTGTAGATTAAGGTTATTAATAAAATAGTGAAATTATGTGAACTGATATTAATCAGAATTCCATATCCTAATGCATGTATTTTGTCATCCCTGAACAAACAAATGCTGGAAATACTCCAAAATGGTATATAGCCTTGACATTCCAGGTTAAACAATACCAGGAAGAAACAGTGAACACTAACCAGTCCCAAAAGAGATGATGTTGACCTGCAGTGAACGATCCAGTGACTGAAAAACCTTTAAAGCAATTCTGCGTGCATTCAGCATGGCCTCTCCTAGCATGGACTCAGACGTGTCCAGCAGAATGACCACATCACTCACACCAGAGGCAGAAACCCCACTGGGCTCAAAGTCTGGATAAAATACCAACATGCAGGCCTGCAGAGGTGAACACACAAAGTGAGTTAAGGCACAAAGAACCATGAGCGTGTTCTAATTTTACATTCTAGTTTTATCATTTTACCTCACTCTCTTTTTCTGGATGTTTCTCCACCCACATCCTGGGCATATGGATCTGAGACAAAGTAAAGCTGAGCTGGAAGCCATCAGTGCTTAGAGTCTGATCTGGTAACGTGCTGACTACAGCCTTACAGTCTGTCCTCTATGAGAAAGAACAGAACGATTTCACATTCAGACACATCCACACAGAGATATACAGACTGACCAACATCATTCTAACTGTAGGAAAACTAATATTACATGTACTGAACAAACAAAGAAAAGCACAAACCAAAGTCACACCTTTATTTTGATGCGATGAGAACACTCCAGGTCAAGGACCTCATAAGGCATCTCAATGGACATACACAGAGAAAACTCTCTAGAAAGAAAGAAAAAAGAAACAATTACATAAGTTATTCATGGAAACACTATAATAAATCAACAACATGTGAATATGCATGACTCTCACCCTGCTGGTTCAAGCTCGTTCACACACACCTTCTCAACGGACGTCTGCAATACAAACACACTCATCATCAGAGCAGCTCAGGACTTATTAAAAATGTTACTCTAATGGAGGAGTGGACAAAATACTGAAATATTACTTGTAAAAAAAAGAAAAAATATATAATAATTCTACTTGAGTAAAGGTACAAAGTACTTGCTTGTGAAGATTACATAAAGGAAAATTCCACAAATTTTTTGGCATGAATCAGTGGTTGAGATGTAAACAAAGGTATTCAGGGCAATCTGGTGTTCACTGCGAAAAACCTAATCTCAGATTTCTTTGCAGCGGTGGTGACAGGAACCAGGGGTTGCAATGTCTAGAACACAAATATAGCCATTTACTATAGAGACCACCTACATGTGTCTTCTGTATTTTTATGTGTAATGATGATAATGGTCATTTTGCTGTAAATCTTTAGTAGTTTTGAACTCTTCATATCTCTGCTTCTTATCACCACCACTGTGAAAATATTCTGACTTGCTAAGTTTCTCTAGAATGGCGCATTTCACAACAAACCACTCGGAAATAAAAAATGTACGTATAAAAAGTGCTTTGAGTTATTGTAGATACTGTGTAATACGGTATTGATGAGTAGATTCTATTAAAGGACCGCTTTGACTGCATACACAAAGACCTAACTCAGTTTTTCAGTGTGTCTGCAGGCACATAAGTCTCTTGAACTGAGTTTGTTGATCAAAGCAGCATTACACAGTATCTGCAACACCTCAAAGCACTTTTACTTTTTACACTTACACTCACAACCAGGTACTTTTGTACTTTTACTCGGGTACAGAACTATTGTACTTTGTCAACTCATGCTTTTTCAGAATACGTTTGTGTGCCTTTCCTATATCGAACTGTTATAAACACTTAATGACCTGTTAATATATCACAAGAGCTGTCTGAACGACAGTTTAATAAAACCTGAATCAGGTTCCACAGCTTCAGGCAATAAATGTGATGGGAATAATTGTAATAAATGGTAACAAATGAAATTAAAGGTACTGCTGTACCTGGGTTCTCTGGTTGAGAGCGGCGCTTTGCTGCCATGGAGCCACACTGCCTGGCAGAGAGAAGAGGATGCTGCCTGCTCTCACAACCAGCTCAGTGATGAAGGTCACTTTGATCAGCACTGTGGCTCCAGGGGGCAGATTCCCCACACTGATGGTGAACACATCCTGAAGCACACACACAGATACACAGATGCTGTGAAGAATGAATATTGTAACTTTAACAGAGAGGATTTCCAAGAACAATCATCAATCAACAACTGCAGGCTCTGGAAAATGATTCACTCTGATTAAATTTTCAAAACTGATCACAGTGTGTGCACTATGAACCCATCTTGATATATAGGAAAAGAGAAACATACAGGCGCATCCTGGTCCATCAGGTAGGCTCCATGGCCTTTCTCTATAGCCTGCCTGTATTCTTTACGTGCCTGCTCCTTCTCCTTAACCTGAGAGAGTGGGTGGAGATTATATGTGCAGAGAGTTAGAGAAATTAGAAACAGGACATTGGAGACTACACAAGCAGAAAAAAGACTGGAAGAAAAAGTGAGCTGAGTGTAACCACCTTTCCGATAACATGCTTTCCATTAATGAAGGCTTCAAACCCACACACCACAGCTGTCTCTTCTAATGGAAAGACATACTTTGCCTCTATAGGAACAGCACTCTGGTTTGTATATGTCTGGAAAATGATGACCTGTTGAGACAAAGAGGAACACAAGCTGTCCATTAAAAGTATGCCATTATTATTATCAAGTGTATATAATGTATATATAATAAGGTGCACAAATTGGTGACCAAGGGGTTTAGTTGCACACAGAGCTTGTATAATCTCTATAGAAAAGCACTGTGAACAGAATGGGATGTTCTGCAGCATCTGCAGACGAGCCTAAGGTCACCATGCCCAATTCCAAGCATCGACAAGAAGGGTAAACAGCTCCCCACCATTGGGCTGGAGAGATAGAACATCATCCAATACGTTTGGGATGAGCTGAAGTGGTGTGTGTGATGTAGAACTAATCTTACTAATCAGTACCTGACCTCACTAATGGTCTTGTAACTGAATGCAATCCGATCCTCACAGCAATGTTCCAACATCTACTGTAACGCTTTACGAGAAGAGCTTGACGGTGTAACTGCAGCAAAGGGGGGCGCTGGATGTGAAGGAGTCCGTTGTTCTGCCTTTATGGGGTTAAGAGTTATCCTGCTGATTGATTACTACAACTGCTGCAAATCTGCATTGCTTAGAGGTACCTTGGTAACTGATTACTGACTGTTACAGTCCAGCACCATCCAAAGTGTAACACTTTACCTGAGACAGCAGGTCCATCAGCTTACACCTCACATGCACTGCCTGCAGGGGGAGTGTCTGACCACTGCTGTCCAACAAACCAGCTGTGACCTCCTCCAGAGGGTTCTTAGTCATCTCCAAACCCCCACTGTCATCACTGTCAGACACTGAACACACGAACACACACATACACATGGTAAGTACATCAATCCTACATAAAAGGTCAGATGAATATTATGTACACCCATGATTTTCATAAAGTATATTCCACAATCAGTGATTGCGGTTATAGTGCATATAGAGGCAATTCCTACAAACCTAAATTGCTAAAAAGTTGGGACACTATTGGAATGCTTCATAATGAACCATAACGCTTCATACTGTTTCCAATGGGAGACAGGTCTGCACTGCAGACAGGCAAGTCAATGACTTGCACTCCCTAATTTTGCAGCCATACTGTTGTAACATGTACAGCTTGCCACTGTCATGTTGAAACAAGCGTGGACGTCCCACAAAGGGACGTTGTCTAGATGACAGCATATGCAATTTACAAGTTATCCATGTCATGGGCAATAATACGCCCTTATACCATGACAGTCCCTAGCTTTGAACTTGCTGGTAACAATCTGGATGGTCCTTTTCTTCTTTGGTCTGCAAAACACAACATTTATCATTTCCATAAATGATCAGAATGGTTGACTCGTCAACCATAATACACATTTCCACTGTGCATCAGTCCATTTCAGATGGGCTTGAACCCAGAGAATTCGGGGGTGTTTCTAGACACTGTTGACATATGGTTTTAGTTGTGCCTAGTGCAGCCTTAACTTTCATTTGTGAATGCTGTGACGAACAATGTTTATTGACAACATTACATTGTCTAGGTGTTCCTAGGCTCATGTGGTCATATCCAACACAGAGCACAGCACTGCAACTGCACAACTGAGGGATCAAAGTTCACAAGCATTTAGTTTGGTCTTTGGCCTTGCTATTCATGCACAGAGATTTCTCCAGATTCCCAGAACCTTAAATTGCCTTATTTTTACCAAAACAATGAAGCTGATAAGGGAAAACATTACATATCTTGTATTTGTACTATGTATTTGTACTAAGTCAAAGTGGATTTACAAACCACTGCTTCTGTTTCTTGCATTTCACATACTGTTCCAACTTTCCTGAAACTGAGGTTTTTGATTTTAGTGTTATATATATTGATTAGGTGATGAGTAGGTCTTACACTCACAGAGGTCAGAGGTTCTGCGAGAGTGTGTGAGCTCTACAGATGTGTTAATGTAAGGCTGAAAGGTCTTCAGCTGATCCTCCTTCAGAGAGTACTGAACTACATATTTCAGCCTGACCTGATCTGTGTTGTACACCACATATTCATCATCCTGCAACACACACACACAAAGTAATATAACTCACAACTTTTAGAAATTTTCTGTCCAGAAAAAAATACTTATATGTAGATTTTTTTTATGTACAAGATTCACCTCAAAATCAGAGTGTGTTGATTGGTTACGGCGAACTCCGTGCACACTGTTGTAGCCCTCAGGAGCGCAGTTCAGAGAAGTGTCCCTCCTGTGCAGGTCCTTACACTGACCCAGAGCCACGTCACACACCAGCAGCAGCCGAGAGCCATCCGTCACACTGGGCTTGGAGTATTTGACTGAAGTGCTGAAACACAGAGCAGACAGCTGATCTATAGCATCAGTTATCTCAGTGCCTCTAGCTACTCTGACTATATTAATGCTGTACATCATAAAAGGCTTCAGAAGGAGTCTTATGTAAAGAAACAGGGAAACACTGACCTCAGAGAGTCACTGAAGTAGATGCCACCTCCTAGATTCCCAACATCTGTTCTTTCAATCCCATGCTGTTCTACTCCAACTCTGGGCAGCAACAGACCTCTGGACACAGAACCAGAACAGCCTGGTTTAGGCACAGTGAGTGTGTGTGTGTGTGTGTGTGTATGTGCGTGTGGGTGTTAAACAGAGACTCTCACCGAGACAAGATTCCTGCAAAGCTCCTGGGATGAGACGAATGGAGGAGGGGCTTAATATTGCCTAGCTCCTCCCTAAACATGAGAACTTCAGTCTCTCTGCTCACACGCAGTATCTGCTGGATCTGGACTGATCTGTAGAACCATTAAATGCACACAGACACAAACCAAAATGAAAAACCATACAAAACATATACAGTCATACAAAAATAAATGTCGTACACAGATGGTAGATACTATACATACCTATCCTGTAAGAGCTGGCAGACTGACTGAAACTCTGGGCTTTGCGATGGCACTTGTTCAATACTGCATCTCAGGACTCTGTACTTCCCCAGAGAGGATGGAAAGGGGTTTCCCAGAGTTGCCTCACTCATATTCAGAATATCTCGAATCAGCTGATAAGTGTCAATACAATTATATGATTTTACAACATGAAAACTAAACACATTTAGGCAGCAAACACAAAAGCAGTCAAGAAAAACTGCCAGTTTGGTTAAACAGACAGAGTAACCAAGTTTACTGAATATATGAATCATGCAGATAATGTAATATAATGTGATTTGAGCAACTAAGCCAGAGGCGTCCAATCTTATGTTAATTTTAAGGACCAGTAAGGCTGTAAGTTTATTCCAATCAAGAAGGAGCATGTCTACTTGTTTATTCAAGTGGCCTCAGTCATACACTTGATCATGTGTGCTCCTGCTTTGTTGGAAGCTGTATCAGCCCTAGACTGGACACATCCCTGGACTAAGCGTAATACAGCAAAGTAAATAAGTATTTTACTATATTATTGAAAAATAAATCAGTGGAAACAGTTATATTAATGAAACACATGTAATACTTTATATATTACGCATGATCATATGCACATCGTTTGTGAATGTTGTACAGCATCTGTTTACTTCTTTGTGAGTTTGCACTAAGATCTACAGTCACTTGACTTACCTGACAGAGGTCTAGTTTCTGAGACACAAGCTTTTGTTTCGAGTCAGGCTCCATCATTCTGAGAGGTAACAGAGTATTGACCTCCTCCAGCAGAGCCTTCACCTCATCCTCACACTGACACTTCTGTACCTGCAGCAACAAACCCTCCACCCTGCTCACCTGCACACACACACACACACACACACACACACACACATCAGACATTAACTGCTCACTGATTCAAAACAGGTATCTCCAAGTCCAGTAAAATGTTCTTTTAGGACAGGATGCTTAACGTTACGCAAATTAACACTAACATTTTAAAAATCTGCTTTAAGTTTCAATCAGTAAAGTGAAACGCATTTCTAATCCTATTCAAATATCCAAATGTTCAGAAAAAAGTAGTCATCTCAACTTTTTAGGAAGTGAAGTTTGAGTCCTGCAAAATGTTCTTTTGTGCCTGGATGGTTAATGTGCTTTTACTGTGTGTGTACACTGTATGACTACACAGTCTTACATCATTCAGACTGATGCTGCCGACAGGAACGGTCAGGATGCTTCTGAGTGACCCGAGGGCTTCTGTCCAGATCAGTTCCACAAAGGTGCCTACTTCCTGTGAGACTGTACTGCAGTTCAGCTTCTCCTCCAACAACAGCTTTCAAATCACACAGTTTATAATGTTTATAATGTTAATAAATTGAACATAATAATAAACTATAAATAATACTGTGAGAGGAATGACAAATGCCCTAATCACTCTGGATCTGAATTAGAGGTAAACTGGCCAATATCAAGTCTACTTTCTCTTTACACAAACCAAACCAACAGTCAAATCATCCCTATCTGGGCTTCAAAGGCTCAACATGCCATTAGTATCAAAGTTATAAGCACATTCTTCTTACAGACAATGACTAGAAAATAGGTGAATGTGATATTGTAATACTTCAAGGCATTTTCACGATACTCAATATTCACAATCACTCTACTACTCTATTATCTCTATTACTTATTTTGTCAAAACAATTCCATTGTCCAAGTAAATAACGATCTGCTAGGTGATGCAGTGTTTAACTGACCTGTTGCAGGCCATGGGAGGCCATCCTCTGGGCTGCTGGTGGAAGTGTGCGTTTCTCTGAGTCACCTCTTGCAATGAGTTCATCCTTCCACATCAGATAGACGTCCACAGCTTCCTCAGAGCTGAAACTGTGCGCCTGCTTATCCTGTAGTACAGTTTTCTACAGAACAGAGAGAAAATTAATGTCAGAATCAAGCAGCATTTATTCATTGACATCGACTCAAACCTACTGCTAACTTTCTCCTGTTTAATCTCTTAGAACGTAGTCAATACTGTATCACTTATTGTTAGCATCAGTAAAAGCATGGTGTACTTTGATATGCAATTTTGTACTTCTAAAGGCTTTTAGGGTCAGATGAGCTCACCTCTGCCTCATTCATGACAGATTTCACAACACGATACTGCTGTCCTGCTTCACCTTTGGCACTCTGAAGCTCCACAACTGACCAGGTCATGACTTCAGCCTTCAAAATACAAACATTAAAGACTGAACACACACAAGCAAACACAAAGAGTAATAAAAAGACGCTTTCTTTCACTGATGCTGTGGTGAATGATGCAAAGGCATGCATTCTCTCCAAAAGTGTCACAGTGTATCTAAGAATAAAAACAGGGTCATGCTTAGAAACAGAATAGATAGAAGTGATAGAAAACACAACAGCACACAGAAAGCTTCAATTCCACAGGCTGGTACATTTCACTATGCCCAAAGTGAGCATGCATGCATCCCAACTACTCTAGGGGGAAGACTTAAATGAGACAAAGGCAAAGTCTCTGAACATAGAGCCTACGACACATTAGATAAGATGGGGTTCAACAACCCATACACACGTGCATTTTAAGACCATTTTGTGTTCTTAAATTGCATCTAATTACTGTTTTGGATGAACAGTTTATATAAACTCACCTTGTAAAAAATGGAGTACTTTGCCACTTGGAAATGTGAAGGAAATTCTGGTATATCATCATCACTTCCCTTGTATAATCTGCATGTTAGGATTGAAGAAAGGTTTTGATTACACAATGAACAGACAAAAAAACTCATACAAAACATAAAAATACAGAACACAGACCAAACCTGACTGACAGGCTGTAAAAGAGTTGCTCACTGTAAAAAAGACCAGGACACACCTCAGTTTGCCCAGGTACGTGCCTTTCTTCGCACGAATCTCAGCATTCTCTCTGTGAATATCACTGCTCTGGAGTTGTGGTTGATCTCTGGACTTCAGCCCTGCTGGAAATTGGGTGTACAACTCAATGCCTTTGCGAGAAAAACCACAACAGAGCACATACAGTGCTCTAAAGAGGTCTTGGGACACCTCTACATTCATCTGTTTATTAGAATGATTTAATGTTTTAATGTATTATGGAAATTGTGCTTTATTACTTTTAAAAGTACAAAATTTCAGCTATATTACAACGTATCCATAAAGACTCTGATTCTGACTAAACAATAGCAGATTTCAACAGAAAACAAATTTCACCTAACCTTCCATTTTATGTCCAAAAATGTTGGGAACACAAATACACACACACACACACACACACGCATCATGTTCAAACCAGTGATCTCCAACACTACTCCTGTGAAGCCACCATTCAACATACCTGACTCTGAAGAATATTGCTTTAGAAAACATAATAAATGAGAGATCTGTGAGAAAGACTGAAGATATACTAAAATTTGTAGAAAAATTTGCAGAAAGTTGTAGAAATAGTGTTTAAAAACTTTGTCTTCCATTCCACTCTCTGTCCATCCAAAAGAGAAAGTCCAACAAGACTGAGCATCAGTTTTGCAAACTCGCTTCACACCTTTAATTAAGAAGAATTACTCTGTGATCTGAAAGAAGGGGCAAAAAACTAACCTAGACAAAATGCTAAATACTAACCTACATGAAGGAAAGAGACAGCAATGCTTGTCCCGCTAATGTTCAAGAACTTTTAGTCAAACATTAGTGTCTTACTGAAGTTTTTAGTGATTATTGCTGGTAGTTATAACTTTTCTGATGGACCTGTATGACTAAAGAGTATGCTGAAGCCTTTGTACAAAAAGTTCAGATTTTTTTTGTCTTATCTCTTCCCCATGAAGCTCATGTTCACATGACTCTCGGTTGGATGTGATCCACTCATCAGAGGCTTTTGCACAAACTTGTGGTGTCCAAGCAGCGCGAGTGCACAATGTCATTAAACCAATTACTTAGAAATTCTGAAATTCAGATTTGTAAAGATTCTACTTTTCACTCAAATTAGTGTGTTGATCATATAATTTGTAATTTAAAATGCTGTATTAAATTAGAAAAGAACGCAAAACAGAAGCATTTTCACTGGGGTCAGACTTTTGGACCCTCACTCTACATGTCCCAGGACTAGTTTTGAGCAATGTTCTGCTTCTTTCTAAGGTTCAAAACCAACATTCACATTCAAACATAACATTCAAATATTTTCAACTCCCAGCTCTTTGGTTACACAGTCTTCCACCTGACACATGTAATATATGAGACATACACATCCATACACACCCACTGTTAGCAAACAGGACTAATTGAGCTGTGACAGTTACAAACTACACTGCTCTGTCTTGTACAGCCCCCTCCCTATTTTTATCTCCGCTGCTGTTGCTATAACAGAAAGCAAACAACTGGGTGCATCATGTTCAAAAAATGGCAACCATGTTTACCTCTGTGCATTAGTGCCAAGTGATTTTCGCAACAAGAAAGCTGTGTTAGGCTGTAATACCTGGGTATGAAAGAGGCTGCTGAGTGAGATCAGACGACTGCTGATTTACAGTGTGCTCGCTCACAGGCAGGAGGACACCTTTCTCCAGACAGCTCCACACAAACTGCACCCCAACTACAGGGATCTGGTACTTCTGAGCACTTCTCTGCCTGTTGCTGCTCAGGTCCTCCAGGCTTCTGGTCACCACAAAGGAGCACTGCACAGGACACACAGCTGTCAGATATATATATATATATATATATATATATATATATATATATATATATATATATAAATATATATATATATATATATATATATGTATATATACACACACACACACATATATATAACCTTAATTATGTATCTTATTATAGCACAACTGTAACTGACAACAGGCAGCGCCACAGGTGTGACAAAGAAATGAGAGAACAAGCAACATCTACCTTCTGGTTGACTACATATGATATGCTTCCTCCATTGTCTACTATAGCAGACGTCAGTTTCTTCTTCTCCTTGTAGGGTACTTTCCTCAGGTCCAGAACCACAGAGCAGCCCTGAAACACAGCCATGACTGCAGGAGAGAATGATACAGAAAGTGAGATGGAGAAAGTAAAAGAAAAGAGCAACGAGCTTCTGGATATCTGTCTCTGAGCGCTGGAACTCCACGGTTTCAAAAGCAAGTCAGAGCATTACCAGAGAGGGGAGGGAACTGCTGGGAAGTAGGAAGAAGCACAACACATTAGCATTTAGCGTTTCACTCGTAACCTAACTCCATAAACCCCTTTCTGGGGAAAAGACCACATGACCCATATGTAGCAATCATTACAGGAAGGGCTTTGAATAGCCTTGAGCAGCATTAACTCAACATTTTGCTGACACGAGCGTTAGACTAAAACCAGTAAAACACATAGCGTTACCACAGATTTAGCTTACAGTGCAGAAGTCAACTCACCTCGCACTCCCAGCGAACCAGTTTAAAAGCTTCTTAATCGGCGAAATGCTACAACTAAAAACACTGTCATGTCTCACACGGGCTGCGTGCCTGTGTGTGTGTGTGTCAACACGAAAGACTTCGCGGACACTAGACACTCCCCACACACACCCACCGCCTCCACACTGCCCTCTGTCTCCATCTACTGCTCACACTTCGTCTCACAGGCAGCCTGGACGGATATATTTATAACATATTCTAATCTATAATTTATATTTGGTCATATAATTGTAAGTAACTTTTAAGAAAGGCTGTAAGTTCCTCATAGCGCCATGTATTAATTGAAACTTTTTAAACAAAATACATGCATTTTATGTCACTGGACTAGACGAAGACTGCAAGCCACGCCCACTCGAGAAACATAAGACAGCAAAATCTGGGACACAGACAAATGGTGGAAACATGGGCATCGGATACACACACACACACACACACACACACACACACACACACATTTTATTTTCTCTTCTGATCAAATGATGGGGCCAAATCTAATCTTGACAAATTTACTGAGGGAGTCAGCTGATCTGTTTTTCTCACTGGATCATGATCTGAGCATTTATATTAAGTTGTGTAAGAAATGTTTCGAGAGGATTGAATTGAGTGAAAGTGTAAAGTTAGACCTTTGAGGCAAAAACACAAGGGCAAAATGCCCCAATTAGCATATTGCCTCAGAAATGTTTTTATCATAGTTATTTTTATCATAAAGTTATGATAAACTAGCTTCACTGACAACCAGCATTACAGACTGACTATAGCTAACATTAAGTAGACTTCTTTTATTTCATATTTCATATTCATTTTTATCCATCTTGCTGGAGATGAGTTTGTGAGCTTTACAGATCGGTAGAGTTACATCAACACCTTAATTGTTCTGTCATGTCTAATAATCACTTTCACTTACTAATTAAACGCTGTTCCTTTGTTTGAATTGTTAGTTATAATTGTTGCTCTACTTTTACTACTGTTAGATGACAAACTGATGCAAAATTCACCCCGGGGTGTTTCTGACATTAGTCAGAGGGGCATCTTACCTTTCTCCCCAAAAACAAAGGTGTTAATCAGTACATTCACTATTGGCATTTGGTTATCATAATGCATTTATTCCAATAATAGTAAAAAAATAAATTCTTTTTCAATTTAATTTCCCATACTGTACCACAATCCTTCATGACTGCTGTGAGGATATCTGTGTGACTGTACTGTATGTATGTGTGATGTGTCTGGGTTGTTGAACATGGAGCAGAAGTTCAGTGGTTTAAACAGATTAGCACACATCTGAGCAAAGGCCAGGAGGGTGAGGCTTTGAGGTACTGTGTGGATTTCATGTTTTTCTGTGTTGAGCTGATAATAGCTGTGCTTTCAACACAATGCATGGCACAGCATTTCGACATGCATGTCTAAAGTTTAACAGATTGTACTAATGTTCTTCTGCTGGAGTCACAAGTCTATGTTATAAAAGGACAACTATCTTCACAGTAATTATAATCACATAGAAAGTCATTCGTATTTCTCAATACTGAGACTGTGTTCCCTGGAAGTTCATAAAGAGCTTCTGTGACACAGGGATCTAGAGTTTTGCAGGACTTTAGTGTTACGATACTTATTTTGTTCAATCATGAGCTGCCACAGTTTTGATATTGTTTAAAATTTTGTAGCTTTACATCTTTGTAATATAGTGTGTTGAATTTATCATTAGTTTTCCATTAAAGAACAAATACACTGGGGTGATAAACTGTTCAGATGTCAATGTGTCATCACTTACAATGGATTAGATGTGTTGACTGTTATATCCACCTTACAGACTTTTCATTTTGTGTTGTCAAGTACATCAGTTTTAAAGACCTCAACAAGCGGATTGTGCACAGTATTTCTCACATTCTAAATCAAAATAATTTTGGGTTTCTTGTAGCTATGACAACCCTATCCATTATAAGTCTAATCATATAATACAAAAACTGTTAATCAACTCATAATAATTACATTTTAATAAGGCATCGTATTATGTAACACATTACCAGTCAAATGTACATTTTGTTCCTCAGCTTTTCCTTGTTTCCATATGAGATGTTTAACTACAGTCTGCTTTACCTTCACAATAAATGTCAACAAATTTAAACTGACAGCCCATAAAACACAAGCCTGGACGAGTCCCACAACACAGCTACCAGTTACAACAACACAGTCTGCAAAGCTATTTGAAGCAAGTTAAACCCCACATTTCTACAGTTAAAATGACAGCGAAACGTAAAAAAACATGCTCCCAAACTGTCCTGCCCGTTTTAGCTAATTAGTTAACCCGCGCTGAGCTGAACTGGTTTGGGTAGAGAAAGAAAAACACTAAGACAGTGTTTTGTAGGTCCTCTCGGAGCGTTGAACACAGCTTCACAGCCTAAAGCATGGACTTACTACGTCATCGGGCATGTGGGCGTGGTATGTCTGGTAAAGCGCTCCTCCGATTGGTTCACTAACAGTGACTCCGCCCCTTCCTCCCCAACAGCCACTAAGGAGCCAAGCGGATGTCAGTCAGGCGCGTCTCCGAGCGTTTATAAACACAAAGCTGCTCTTGACAAAATGCAAAACAGCACATAAACAACATTTGCGTGTACTGGCCTCCATATCCAACCCAAAATGGTACGTTATCCACATTTGCCGATAAATCTGGACCTAATCACGAGGCTGCCTGTGAGGACGGTGGTCGCCGTGGTGGTCACGGTCATCTTCTTCAAGTTTCTGTTCTCGTGTCCGTGCACAGCTCCTGAGGAAACTGTGGTGCACTGCTGGCTGTATCTGCTCCTTCCTGTGGGAATCATGTTCTTCGTCCTCATGCTGCTGGACGCACAGCTGCTGAAGCTGTGTCAGTGTTATGTGTGTAGGTGCTGTGTCCGAGCCGAGGCCAAGTGCTGCAGCAGCGAGTGCTGTGACACCTTTGAGTGCTGCTGTTGTGCCGGCGGCTACTGTTACCGCCCCACAGGCTTTGGCGAAGAGGGCTGGCATTTCTGCGGTCTGATATGGAGGCATTTGCTGAACGTGTTTTACGCGGCCGCCCTCTGGATCGTGGTCGCCTTTATCGACGGTGACTGGTACGTCTGCATCCGCACGGTTGCTGTGAATGGCACGGGAGAACAAATCGCCTGCAAGGATTTACCAACACCACAAGAGGCAGAAACTTTGAGAAAGTACAGCAGTGAGTCGCGGGTGAGTGAGTGGTGTAGAGGAACTGCTGATTCTCACCAGGATTTAAAAGCACAGCAACTATAAGACTCTTATTTAGGCCATATAGCCGAGCACTTCTTACATACACTGACAGTGCTGAATTGCCAAGTTCTGAACTGCTGTGTAATCTAGTGGTTCCTAAGCCTGGTCCTGAATATCCTCTGACCCCTAATCAGCTGATTGTCAAGTTGTTATTGCATTGAAGTGGGCGTGTCAAAGCTCTTGCAGGGCAGATACAGGGGCAGGCCCAGTAGTGGGACTCTGCTAACGCCTTAAATTCCCAAGTAATTATATGGAAAAAGTGCAGATGGCGTAGTTATTCAAAAGAAGGACAGAAGCCTGGCCTGTATATATCCGTCCGTCCATCCATCGTGAACTTGTTCAGGCCGTTAAGGCACAACGGCTGTAATAATTTCACTAAAGCTAACATGTCTTATTTACATTAACACTCTTAAAGATGGCTCTATTTTGTCAGTTCCAACTTACTGAAAAACTAAATATTGTGATACATACTGTAAAAATGTCTGTGTGTTGTGATATAATGTTTTTGTTATGTCTCCCCTACACTATGCCATTCAAATTTTTATGAGGACAGACCTAAAGCATTGCATTACATAGCTTTCTCTGCTTATTTCCTCCAGATAATTGGACTGATTCTCATTCTGGGGTTTTCACTCCTGTTGACAGTAAGTTCATCTGTCATGACCCGATGGAAGCCGTATTACAAGTCTCTCTTCGAGGTTTATGTGGAGCAGGAGACCGCTGCCATGCTGGAGGAAAAGCTGCAGGAGCAGGCTGTGCAAAGAGCCAAGCTGCTCAGTGAGAATGTGTTAAGATACATCGAGAGTCAGCCTGTGAGCAGCATGCAGGGAGATGTGCGTCAGGGTCAGTACCAGCCATTAGGGGCTGCAGAGGAGGATGTTTGGCGGACAATATCACACCCAGCATTCCACTTAGTAAAAGGAAAGACCCATCCCTGAGTGTGAAAATCTACACTTTGATAGACTAGCAAATTTTATTTATATTTCAGAAAAAGCCAAAAGTTTTACTTAATATGTAATTCTTTTCTAATTTTTCTAATTTGTATCCTATGTGTGATCTGTGCATGAGGAGGGAAAGGTGTGGCAGTAACTATTTCACTACGGTGGGCTATTTAAGGGTTGCTTGTGTAATTTTATTTTCAGCCCAATAAGCACAACTTTCAGTATATCGCTGTTGTCGGGAGAAAACCTCGTATCTCCAAAATGATAACTTTACAAACAAAGTAAAGGGCAACAGGTATTTTCAAATTATGTCAAAAACTGAAAAATGAAAAAAATGGAGATATAAGGTTTTCTTCCGACAGCAGTGATATGCATTATTATCTCAGTACTCCACAAAAACGGTTTCGGTCCATAATCCACAACCTGTCCACAACTAAAACTGCCAAAATCACAGGCCTAGCTTTTAGTCCCTGGGTGTTGCCAAATTGTTATGTGAGACATTTAATAGCAGTATGATGGGTTTTTATAAGACATTTCAAAGCACATCACGTGTGTGGTTGTGCAGGATTGGTTTGGGCACGTTAGATCTGAACGTTCAGTTATCTTTTCTCTGATTGTCTTCCAGAAGGTCCGTTAGGCCTGTTGTAACATGATGCTTCAGACTGACAGGACAGTCAATGTTTTTTGAGACTTGTTTGATATTATTAGAGCTTGACTTAAGAGACATTGAGAAACATAATACAGGGTTAAACCGGTGCTTTTATAAACTTGCTCCTTATTGTTTTATTTTGTTTTCGTTTACTAACAGCATGTTTACAGATGAGATAAAAACTCCGTTGCCTGTTAAGGGCCTCTATTGTACATTTTCCCTGTATTTTATTTTTTCTTGCCTGCTTAAGATGTTTCTTTAGGTTTATGTACCAACAACTATTGATTTTTTACATGGCTATTTTACATAACCTCTCTTTATCTCTTACAATTGCATACTGTTTTGTTACTGTGCCTTTAATACTGACAGATGTAACTGATGTTGTTCTGATTGGTTGTGGAGTATTGTACCTTGTTAAAAAAAGCAATCTAGGCTAAAACACTCCTATGAACTTTAATGTGAATGGGCGGAGCCAAACTGCTGTAGAAGTGAATATATGTATGTTTGTTGCTTTTTGTGATTTCACAAAAACAGCTAATTCAAAACAGTCTGCTTTTGCAGCTTAATGTGCATATGCAGACTTTGTGGACTGCAGAGTGAAAGGTACGTTTTGAAACTGTAATAGTGTTAACATCCTACATCAAACTGTTTTATTTCAAAAAAGGGAGGAACATTTGTTTTTCACGATATGGGTCCTCAAAGGATCGCCTCATATTTATTAATAAATGCCAAAATATAAAAGATCAATTTTACTGTAGTCCTGCAGACCCCATACTATGCCTGTGCTTTATCTAAACAAGCAAACCTATTTATTTGAGGCAGATCTACCCAGATGTTACATAATGACGCAAAATGTGTGTTTTTCACTTTTTAGTAACCAAACGTGGTTATTACAGAAATGCAAACTAAACCATTCAGTTAGCATTTTAGTATAACATTAGAGAAGAGATAAAATGAGAACCTCTGGATGTGCAAATGTATTTATTAATGTGTTTTGACTAGATGTTTTCTTGGAGGATTACATTACAGTGACTTAGTGCATTCACACCAGGCTCTTGTAATGTGGGGTAAAATGACACTAAAACAGACTGATGTGTTTTTAGTACTAATGTTTTGTACTAATAAATACAGATTTTGTTATTTAATAAATAGAACTCTGCATTGTTATTGTTTTGATCCTGTTATTCCTCACAGAGTTTGTGTTTGCTGGCAGCCCAATATAACACTGGGTGATGGGCACACATAACCCTAGGCATTTGTGACTGACCACTGCTGTGATGGGCCTACTGACTTGTAGTATGTTGATATAATATCAGCAAATATGTGCTTTATCTCTATTTAACCGCACAGTTTGTATACTGTGTTCTCCATGCAGACTATGGATTGAACAGGGCTTGAGATAAAGCTTTTCCAGGGACTTGTCCTATGGACGAGTAAATCCATATTTTATTAGTCCAAAGGCCAAAATCACTTGTCCATGGGAAAAAAGGTCAATACAAAACATTTGTAAATGACTGCTGTATTACAGGGGTTCATTAAACTGTTTAAAATGGTGTTACGTTCCCATTTCTTTACACCAATCTTGTCACTAAACCTCAATATTATAGCGTTTAGTGTAGTAGAAGACACAGGAAACATTTAGTGTATAGGCGAATGCTCCTTTATTTTGGACAGACACTTCAGCACACACCAAGAAATGCCTAACACTAACCCCAATGTGAAACACAGGGAGGGGTAACACAGGAGGATACAGCCCTTGGGGGGTTAGGCACCTCAATCTACTAGTTAACAACTACACTAATAACGGCAATGACGGGGCGGTATTATCTCTCGGTCATTAATGCATGTACATCTCTCTCCTCTCACTCGTTCACAAGTTCACATGATTTCTGAGGTAAATCAGCTAGCACTAAATGACCAGCTAATGTTCAATAAAAATCATTAAATTAAAGACATTAACAAGCTAGCATTAACCAGGTTATGCTTCCTAACTTTATGTAAAATTAAGGTTATCTTAAACCACACTTTTTTTGGGGCTGACCAGATGTCCCAGTTTTCAGGGACAGTCCTCCTTTTTGGTGGCCTGTATCCACCTGGAGCTGTCCCTGAAAATGTCACCAGTTTTAAAAATTGAATTAAAAACACACTGGAATGTTCTAGGAAAGATCTGGCCACTGAACAGAAATGCAGACGTCTCACATTGTGCTTGTTTTAGCCAACAAAGGGGGCTGGCTGCTGTTATTTACTAATCACATCTACCACTTGCTTCCCTGGTGTAATGCTGATGTGTAAAACTCAACCAGAAGGTAGCAAATGTCACAGTTTCATAGTTCACCATAGCTTCGCTCACCATGGTAGGCTATTGATGAAGGCTGAAATCTTATCTCATCTGTTTAGTCACCATGACAATGTCAGTTAGGACTGAATTTAGAACAGTAGTTATTACAGAACAACAGCTCATAACCTTATTCATTAACTCCAGATGAGAACAGATTATTATAGAAACATTCTAGACAAAAATTCCTGAACACTGTCCTGCTTTAGGACAACGCCAGCAGTGTCCTAACTTCCGTTTTAACCTTCTGCTTCTTTTATGACAGACAGCATAGTTTACTACTACCGTAAAGATGTTATATTTATTGATATTGCAAAGCGGTGGTTTCACTTTAAAGATTTTTTCCCCTTAATTCTTTATTTTGAAACTCCCAGACACTCCACCACTCCCTCTTATTACCTACCTGTGTTAATGTTGATGAAAACTCATCATGTAGTATATTGTAGTGTCTCTCCACTGGCGGCACTGCTGTGGGAGTGCGGGAGGCATGGTCAGAACGACCGTGAAAAGAGGCTCTCGGGAGGTGCCGCATTGTGGTAGGAGAACTGTAATGTTTGTAGTTCAAGTTGTTGGTGTTAGTTAAGATGTGTTATGTGTTGTATGTGCTCTGTTCTGTGTGGGGCTGTTGGGTAGCTGGTGCCAGTGTTAATGCCTACCAGAAAGTGTATGGATAGAAGTGACTTGCCTGCTATTTCGGCCGCTTGGTTAGCGCTGAGCGGCAATTCTCCCTTGCAGCCTGTTCTATAAAAGAGCATTCACCCTTAATGTGCAATCTTCTTCTTCAATGGCACCACAATATTACAGTGATGGTGGTGAGTAGTGAAGATTTTTTGAGTTAAATTTGTGTTCGTTCATTAGGAGACATAACATCAGCATTATGTTAACAGAATGTTAACGTAAAGCAGGATGTAAATATGAACTGAAACTGGGGAGCGGCAATGCTCTGATAAATAGCACAGGGTGCTGTCATATTCTTATCGCACTTTAGTTTTGTTCTGCCCTTTTTTACATCGATAACAATAGTTGTCTAGCTACCTTACATTTTTACCGCTATTTTGATTACATGTTTACGTTTCAGCTGTGCATGTATCATTCGTTGCTTGATAACGGACATAAAAGTTGATTAACAACCTCGGTTGAGTAGTTCAGGATTTCATAACTGGAGATAAGATGCTGTAAGATAAGATAAAACTCCTAAATTAAGATTTGCTTCTGTAATATGAATTTGGCAGAATCACGACAGAAGTATTAATGTAATCCTGCTAGAAAGAGAAAAGTATGTGCTCATCCGTTTCTTTTCTTTTTGCTAATTTGTCACATTTAAACGTTTCAGATCATTCAACTAATTTTAGATATAGACAACACAAATAAATACAAAACGCAGCTTTTAAATGATCATTCCATTTATTGAAGATAAAGATTTAGTCAAAACCTATATCATCAATGTGAAAATGTAATTGCCCCCCTAAACCTAATAACTGGTTGTGCCACCCTTGACAGTAACAACCACAATCAAACATTGGTGATAACTTGTCTTTTACATCACTGTGAGGAATTTTGGCCGTATCTTCTTTGCAGAATTGTTTTAATTCGGCTGTATTGGAGGGTTTTTGGACATGAATCGCCCGTTTAAGGTCTTACCACAGCATCTCAATGGAATCTGAGCCGACTTTGACTCGGCCACTCCAAAACCTTAATTTTTTTTTCTTTTGAGCCATTCAGAGGTGGACCCGCTTCTGTGCTTTGGATCATTGTCCTGCTGCATAACCCAACTGTGCTTGAGCTTTTGGTCACAAACTGACAGGTGGATATTGTGCTTCAGGATTTTCTGATAGAGAACAGAATTTATGGTTCCACCAATTATGACAAGTCGTCCAGGTCCTGCAGAAGCAAAGCAGCCCCAGACCATCCCACTATCCATGTTTGGTTGCTGGTATGATGTGCTTATGGTGGAATGCAGTGTTAGCTTATGCTAGATGTAACAGGACCCATGTCTTCCAAAAGTTCCACCTTTGACTCATCAGTCCACAGAATGTTATCCCAAAGGACCTGGGGGGTCATCTAGATGGTTTTTGGTAAATGCAAGATGAGCCTTTGTGTTCTTTTTGGTCAGCAGTGGTTTGGGGCTTGCAGCTCTCCCATGGACGCTCTTTTTGCCCCATGTCTTTCTTATTGTGGAATTGTGTACATTGATCTTGATCAGGGCATGTGAGGCCTGTAGTTCTTTAGATGTTCGTTTGAGTTTTTTTGTGACTTTCTGGATGAGTCGTCAGTGCGTTCTTGGTGAAATTTTGGTAGGCCGGCCACTCCACCACTGTTCCAAGTTTTCTCAGTTTGTGGATAGTGACTCTCACTGTGGTTCACTAGAGTCCCAGAGCCTTAGAAATGGCGTTTTAACCCTCTCCAGACTAGTAGATTTCAATTATTTTGTTTTGCTTCTCTTTAGAATGTAGCATCATGTGCTTTTTGAGACCTTCTAGCTGCTTCACATTGACAGACAGATTCTATTTAAGTGATGTTTAGATTCAACAGGTCTGGCAGTAATCATGCCTGGGTGTGGCCAGTGAAACTGAACCTAGTAGTCTATTGAATTTGGTTAACTGGTTAAATTAGTAGCTAAGGGGGTAATCACTTTTTCAGATAGCCAGGTAAGGCTGAAAAGCATTTTTCTTTCAATAAATGAAATCATCATTTAAAAACAGCATTTTGTGGTTACTTGGGTTATTCTGGCCTACAGTGTTAGAAATAAAGGTACTGTAAAGGTACAAACAGTCTAAATGGTTTTAGTTTTAAGGTCCAATTGTGCACCATAAAGTTTTTCATAGTTGGAAAGTATGTATTTGTACCTTTTCATAACCTAATGTTTTAAAACAGATCAATAAAATAAAAAGCCTGGAGACGCGACGGAGTGAGTGGAGTCAATACAACATTTCAATGGATTATGGTAAAATTATGTTCCCTGACTAAAGGTACTGAGATGTACACTTAAGGGTACCAGCCCAGTGACAGTGTCATACCTTTATTTATGAGAGTATATTAAAAGCAGTTTGATGATCTGAAACATTTCACAGTTTGATTAAATGATGACTATGAGCTAAAAGTGCTCATAGTAAAAAGTAAAAGCGTATTTACACCCAAATCGGGTGAAGAGTATAACCATTTTACCTGTACATATCCCCCATTTTTAAGGGGCTATGACTGTAAAATAAAGTTTTGGTTTTCAGGTACATTGATGTCATGTAATCTTGTGTCATAGCTATCTCACGTTCACTTAAATATTTTATATACACATTTCAGACTTCCATGAGGAAAATTTTCAATCATGGCCATTTCTTTCTTTCTTTCTTGTTTTTTCAATGACATCTTTTTAGTTTCCCACGTACAGTTTTTACATTTTTCCAATAGTAAGCATTGTTGTTTGTCAACAGGACATCAGTGTGTGCATGTGGTCGACCCTATGCACGGCCTTTATGTAAACCTTCTGAGAAACTACAGAATTCGAGCACATGCATCTGGCGCCTGTGCGTGAGAAAAGAACATGCGCATAACCACATCAAAAGAAAATGCACTGTTGGCAGGAAAAAAAACATTGTATAAGGTACGGTGTAAACTAACCACGGGCATAAATCCAGAAAGTGAAAGCACATGCATACATCTACATTCACAAACACACTTTTAATGCCAGTCAAGTTATTATAGTATTCTTTGTTTGTGACAATGTATCTTAAATGTTGCTTTGACTTTCATGTTCATCATATACACTCACCTGCAAAATACCTCATTTTTACGTAGCTAATTACTTTGCAATTTTCTTTGAAAGCGTATCTATAAACGTCTGTATTGAATTAAATTTCATTATTTCTTAATTCAACCGTTTCAGTCTACATACATTGTATACATTGTATTGGATGAATAAAGTTTATTAGATGAAGAAAGAAGGCTTGTTTAGTTTTCCACTACAGTGACAATCTGAAGATCTGCAAGAAGATAACCAAGAGACCTAAATCAAAAACAAACATCAAACACACCATCACCACAGAGTTCTGACTCCTCCCTCTTTCATTCAGAAGTAGGCTTTGCTGGTGTCTCTCTTATATACTCTGGGCTGCCTTTCAATAATTTCATGCACAATGCACAAGGCAGGCTACAGTCTGAGCAGCAACAATGACCCATCCAGACTTCTCCGCTAAAGCTCTAACAGAACTGCTATCATCAGATGGTGGTGCGTTTGCTGTTGTCTGCTTTTTTGTTATCTTCCAGTACATTTTCAAACAGGATTTTTTTTGCCCATGTGACCCTGATGAAAACATCTGGTTCTGCATAGCTTACATTCTTCTACCCTTCACCATTTTCACGTTAATCATAATTGTGGTGGACAAAATCTTTTTGGAGATTTGTACTGCCCAAAATTGTACTTATTCCTGGGTGATTGTGAAGCGAATTCTGAGAGCTCTGACTGTGGGAACACTGTGGATCGTGACAGCACTGATGGATGGAGACTGGTGGGTGTGCTATGTAACAACATCACGGAACATAACAGCCAGGGATGAGCAACCACTTTGTAAAGATAAACCTACAAGTGAACAATCTGCAGCTATAAGACACTGGAAAAGTATATCACGTGTAAGTCTTCTATATCATTTTTCATTTATTATTATTTATATTTATAATTCCCACCCTATTTAATAATTGTCATATTTCTAACAGGACAGCAGGATGTTGTTAGTATATAATATACTCATTGATTCAACTCTTAACTTTATCTTAATAAAGACTCTGTTTTTTCATTTCCAATGTACTGTTTCTAAGGTCACTGGAATGGCTCTCCTGTGTGTGATATTACTTATCTGGGCAGTATTCACTATAATGTGTAAAGGACGCAAGCCTTATAATAAGGCGCTCTATAAGGAACTTCTCTTTGATGAGACTGATCATCTTTTGAAAAAGAAACTTAAACACCTGGTCCAAGAGGCGGCAAAAGAGCCTGTTAAAGACAAATGGAGCCAAATGTTAGACGACATGGGCCTGCAGGATTCAACCCCTACTGCGTGTCCTGACCAGCGAGGGATGCAGGATGATGTAATCTTACCGCTATAGGCAGATAACAGCATCTGCATCAGAAAGATGATCTGATTCAGACCGATATTAGCTGATGCATTTACTCCGTAAGTTGAGGACTATCATAAAACATCTGCATTTGTAACTCTCTATGGACATGCTACATTTCTCCATAATGCTAATCCAGCTGGATTTAGTCCCAATTTCCACATTTTATACATCGACAAACATTAAAATATCTGATATCTCATCTATAATTCACATATCTGGACATGTCCACCAGCAACAAAGCTCAAATCTCAACCAACTACAAACTGAACACAACCAGCAGTATATCCAGCAACAAACAACTGAGCAGGATGAGGAGCATTATGGTGTAGCATCTGCCATCTAGTTTTTACTCATCTTTGCTTTAATATATTAATGTGTGTATAGCTTTTGTGTATGAGTTCAGTGGAAATAGCAGAATAAATAGGCCCAAATGTTTAAAAATGACATCATGAGAATGTTTTGAAGTGGAGAATGAAATCTAGCTTGGCTGCATTGTATGGCAATAATCTCTTGTGGTTTAAATCTGTGAATTTCATTTCATGTTCTGAACCCCCTACCATGTTAGCATTAGATTCACTGTGATTTAGTTAAAGCAGGTAAATCCTACCTTCTGTCAGTTTCCATTTCTGCATGTAGGCAATGCCATCAAAGTGTAATTTCTTGTGTTGTTTGGAAAAAGCTTAATCTGACATGCTGTCTGTTTATTGTATATTGGTTTTTAATGTGCATTACTTGAATTTAAAAATGCTTATTAACATTTTTTTGTTTCTTGTTACTTTATGCCTCATGTTTCTCAAAGTTTATAAAATCAAAGCCTAAAGTGCCTTAAAATTACAAAAAAAGACACTCATACACCACAGAACAAAGTAATCTATAAAAGATTTCATGGTCATCACATACTTGCCAAACTCTGCATATCTTTAAGAAACTCAATTCCTTTTAAAAAGATAAGAACGTCAGAGACATCTGAACCATAAATCACAATCACTGTGCCCCCCCATGGATAAAAGACAAGTATAAAAGGAGAAATAAACAGGTCCTACAGGTGCTACCTTCTGATTTGAAACATACAGGAATTCACAGAAAAATCTTTGTGCACAAACATAATATGATTTTTTCTTTATTCTCTCTTTTTTCTTGAGTAAGAGCGGATGTTGAATTGAACATCAGATTTTTCTGAGATTGTTCAAACCTTTAAGAATTACCTAATCAACAGTAGGAACTGTCCTTCTATGATGTTCTTTTTGCAGTTTCTTTCACTGAATCTGAGTTCCTGTCTTTTGTTTAATTAAGACAGCATGGCTTTGTATCAGCGACTCTTGTAAGTTTGGCCTGCAAGTCTGTTTGCTGGACAGCCATTTCTTACTGTAACGTCTTTATAGTTTCACATTTATTGAAATAGTGTTTTATAATGTAATGTAATTTTTGGTTAATTAGAATCTAGACTAAGATTTATTGAATATTAAAGGATAGACAATATTGCTAAATGAGCACATTATGAAGATAAAAGAAACTGTACTGCCCATCACTAACTGTGTGAGTGTGCATGGAAGCTTTCTGCTGAATTGTAATATAAAACAGCCCTAATGGCATGATCTGTACAGCAAGCCTACAACCTCTATAGAACACACTTTCACATAATTTTAACTTCCCATATGTTTAACTTTTTTAACTTAATATTCGGGCAATTTTTCATACGAGGGCCTGTGATGGACTGGCGAACCCAGTCCAGGGTGTATCCTGCCTTCCACCCAATGGCTGCTGGAATAGGCTCTAGCATCCCCCTCCACCACGTGACCCATGACATCTGTGACAGGTTAGTTATTTAGCAGGAGAGCATTGACCCAATAGGCTAATTTTCTCATCATGCCCTGGAAATAGCATTTGAGGCCTGTGGCACAAATCTTTGAAAAACATTTGCACATTTGTGTTCACACATAATGAATACAAAAACGAATGTCAGGCTATTCGGGTCAAAATCTGTGAATCTGTTTAAAATTACATAAATAAATGCATACATATATACATAAATACATAAATAAATAAATAAATAAAAAAAAACAAAGACATTTTGCTCACATCAAACAGCAAACCTGGAAAGCTTACCACCGTTACAATCCACTGCGGTTTGTTAAAAGGGAAAAAAAGGCATTTTTCATTTGTCATTTTTCAGTTCAACAGTTGTGGGTAGAGTAGCCTAGTACAAATCTATACTCAGTTAAACATACACCAGACAGCCACTACATTAAGTACACCCTCTTGTATCCAAACTCTTTGTCTACTTATCGTATAGGTGCACTTTGTAGTTCTACAGACTGTATTCCATCTGTTTCTCTGCATACTTTGGTGGCCCCCTTTTACCCTGTCCTTCAAAGCACACACACACACACACACACACACACACACACACACTTCAAGTCCCGTGGATGACCTGAAATGGGTAAGAGGTTAAAAACTGATCAATTAACTGAAAACTAAAGAGTAATGTCAATCTCAGAGTATAAAAAGGCTATAATTGGTTAACAAAGGCTATAATTGCTTAACAACTTATAGCTGGTTTGCGGCAATGGAAGTAAATTTAGCTTAAATTTAGCTTTAGTTGATTCCTACAGGCGTCCCAACATTTGATGATTACTTACAAACCTCCAGCATGTAAAAACAGTTTTAAAACAGACAAAAAAGGCAATTAACAAAGGAAAACAGACAGACAACTATAACCCTTACAAGTATAGGTCATCCCTTTAGAGAAATTGCAAAGAAAACCAGGATGTCAGTGAGTACTGTTTCCTACACCATCAAAAGGTACCTGAAAACTGGGGGAATCTGACAAGTCTGGCAGACCCAAAGCCACAACTGAATCAGAGGAGAGTTTCTAAGAGTCAACAGCTTGATAAGCAGTACCCAGGACAACACTCAAACATTGGTTAAATTGAACAAGTCCAAGTTTCAGCTGTGAAGAGAAGACTTCAAGCTGCAGGTTTGACAGGTCGAGTGGCAGTGACAGTCATTGCTAAGTCATTGCTAAGATAACGAAATAAGTAAAAGAGGCTTTCCTTGGCCATGCAGTACTTCCAGTGGACTAGTGAAGACTGAAAGGAGGCCTGATAGATCGATGAATCAAAAAATAAAATCTTTGGTTCATCAAGCAGGGCTTTTGTTCAGAGTTGAGTAGGCAAAATGAAAGTTCCTTAGTGTGTGTCACTAACTGTAGAACATGGAGGGGGAAGCATGATTGTCTGGGACTCTTATGCTGGATCCAGAGTTGGCGACTTGCACAGAGTGACTGGTACCCTGAACCAAAAGGGCTACCACAGCAAATAGCAGCTTAATGAAATATAATAAGGTGGCTATTTGGATGTCAAATTGTAGATTCAATTTTGTTGAAACATTTTCATGATTTCTTTTTATCTCAGATTGTTTATTTGTTCTATGCCTAAATTTCAGAGTGCACTGAGACATTTAACTGCATAAAAATCCAAAATAATGGCGGTGTTGTAAACTTTTGACTGATAGTATGCATAATTGCAAACACACACACATAGGGGAGTGCAAGGAAAAACCTAACGTGGGGCACAATTAAACACAGACTTTTTATGTTGTTATACAAGGTCAAGCAGCGTGAGCTTCTGGACACTACCACATTTCCTAGCCACAGTCTCCCGCCAAAATTCTGAGTGAATGGTCAGCGTTTTAAAGAGATCTGTGTCAAAGAGTGTTTTCAGGGCATGTAAGTAATATTTTCACTACACGTTTTTTTCTAAGCTGTCTGTGTAAACTACAAAATCCAACCTTATATCACTTTAATCTCCATCTTGTTGCCTACAACGCAGCACTTTTTGAATGCCGAGCTGTAATCAACAAAGAGCATTCTCACATATGTATTCCCTTTGTCCAGGTTGGCAATTACAATGTGTGTCGCCAAGGCGATGGTATCACCTGTGGCCTTATTTGGTCTGCATGAAAACTGAAGAGGGCCCAAGGTATCAAGAAGGAGCAGATGTGGGCTTGGACCTGCACTTTATGATGACTGATATCAGTGCTACAGGGCAGTAGTCATTTACACAGGAGACCACTGGTTACTTTGGGACAGGAACGATGACAGATGCTTTAAAAGGGGTGGGGACCACAGAGTCAGGGAGAGGTTAAAGATGTTGGTCAACACCTCTGCCAGTTGATCAGTGCATGGCAACTGTCTCCATGACCCTTTTGAAAGACTGTCTCATGTCTGCTGTTTCTAGGGTCAACATGGCAGCCTCTCTGCTCACAGGGGGGTGCATGGCAGATGTTGTGTTGTCTGCATCAAATGTGTAAAAGGTGTAAAAGGTGCTGAGCTCATCCGGGAGTGATGGGGTGGGCTGAACAATGAAATGTTTTTCCATTTCACATGCATCTGGGGTCAGAGCTGTAGTAGTTGAACTCCACTTTGTCCCTGTAAGCTTTCTTGGTATCCTTGACTTTCGGAGGTCATATCCTTTAGGCATCAGGGTCCCTTAAGTTGAAGGCAGTGGTCCATGCTTTGAGTTTAACGAGGATCTTTTGGCTGACCCAGGGTTTCTGGTTGGGTTAGGTGCAGACGGTAGCTTTTGTAACAACATCGTCAATGCACTGACTTAAATAGCCTACGACAGAGTCTGTGTGTTCACATCTGCCAGTCAGTTGTCTCAAAGCAGTTTTGTAAGACCTCGTCAGCCTTTGTTCCACTTTTTAAAAGACCTAACTGAACTGCTCCAAAGAGCTCACATAACCTCTAAGCATTAATGTCATGTACTTAAGATGTGATGATCGGTCCTCACAGTTATTCAACATAAACTACAACCAACTCCCCTATCTGGTGTGGTGACAAGGCTGTACCCCTTCGCCCAAGAACATTCAGTGCGTCTATGTTCTGGTTTCTTAAACATGAAAACTTAATGAATGAACAGTGCAGAGAGGAAAATCTGATGAAAACGAACAAAGACCAGATAATGATGTTGTTTTTCTGTGGTTGTTCTTTGATTTAAAACAATTTATTTTCTCTTTCTAATAATAGAAAGATAATGTTCCTCTGCTAAGCACATTCAAATTTTGTGACTAAATGAAATGTGCTGTAAAAACAAAGATTACTATTATTAGTTGTATCATC